AGAACAGATCATTTTTTACACCTTTTTAGTCATAAGAAAGGCATACAGGGCAAAATAACCTCTCTGTTCTATGGTAGGGGTTTATAAAGATATATTTTTTAGAATGGAAATCAATTATAAAAATACAGGAAATAGATCATCATACAGAAAAAAAAAAATCAAGCACATATGGATATTAGGCCATTTTGAAAATAATGTTCGTTTGTCTTCTCTCGATTCAAGGTAAAAATAAGATACAACTGTAGGTGGAAATTTTTTTCTAGAAAATTTCAACATACTTGTTGAATGGATGTGAAAAAATCAAAAATTAAAAAAAAAAAAAAAAAAAAAAATCTATCGTTTCCTGGAGGTTAAAATGTTTTGAATCGAGCCGTTGTAGCCAGTCGGTCGTGAGGGGGCAATCAAACAATGGCCTTATTTGGGATTGGTTTTTTTTTTATTTTTTTTATTTTACATTGATTTCTATATGTAGACATGAGCGTATATATATGCGAAGAATGCAAGGATGAGGATGGCTTTCTAAGAAAACTTAATGATAATTAGTTTTTAACAATGATAAAACACGTACAACCTGTTTTACATATTTTTTAAAAAATGATATATTTGTTTTAGGTATCCTATGTCGTGTGACTGTTAATTTTTTTCAAAATCATTCATTTAAGGGGGTGGGGTGTTTTGTTTGTTGGTTAACGTCCCTCGGGTTGGGGGGGGGGGGGTCAAACTGATGTGCATGTTTGAGTACACAAGGAAACATGGAAGCTACGCCAAGTACCAGCCAAATTTACATACATGTACTTTTTTATGAGTTAACGATATCTTCAAATAAATTAAACTTTAATTCAATTCATTTATTTGACAGCACCATCATACATTGGCATATAGTCATGAATACAACAAACAATAACATACATAAAATCAATAAAAATTATTCCAGTATAAGCATATCAGTTATGTTGAAGTTTTTCATTTCTAATATCAAAAAAACTTTTTCAGAAAATTATATACTTTTCTAGCAATTTTAATACTTGTAGGGTTGATAATGTCAATAATAGGATTTTCCTTCATATAACATTGAGCATTAAATATATCACAAAATTGTAATCTATACTGATCATAACTAGGACAATAAAGTTCAAAATGTTTTTCATTTTCAATAAAAAGTTTACGAGAATGACATACACGTTTTTCTCTAGGAATAGGTGGCCTTGAGTATCTCCCCATTTCAATATGTAGTATATGAGCACTAACTTTTAGTTTTGTTAGGATTGTTCTTTCAGATTTTTTCAATGGTAATTGTAGGTAGTTCTGTAATTTATATTCATTTAAATTTATCATATTACTATAAAAATTTAATTTTCCAGAATCTGATTTAGAAAACAAGCAACTACCGAGCTCCAAATTAATTCTTGCGAGCAATAGTACTAAATCCATGGCATTGTTGGGGCTTGAATTCCACTGATGGAAGTAAAAGTTCTTTTTAATTACCTAATTATAATTTAAGGATCCCATTGGCAATAATATTTTTAAAAAGCTTTTATGGACTATCTTTAGGTAAGTATTTATCGTCTGTGTATCATATTACTTGTATAAATGTAGATCATGATGCCTAAATAGATCTTTATCAGGTTGTTAAATATAGAGCTCTATGCACTTTTTGAGAAGATTTTTGAAGATATTTTCCTATGTATTCCTATGTGAAAGTTTGATTGCCCATTGTGACCCCTCCCTACCCATAGGGGCCACAATTTATACAAACTTGAATGTACACTATGCAATGGTGCTTTCACTTAACTTTCATCTTTTCTGGCCCAGTGGTTCTTGAGAAGAAGATTTTTAAATGATCCCATTAATTTTTCATCAATTCTAAATTATCTCCCCTGAAAGAAGGTGTACATGTGGTCCTTCATTTGAACAAATTTTAATCCACTTTATTCATGGATGCTTGCAAGTTTGGTTGAATTTGGCCCGGTGGTTCTTTAGAAGAAGATGAAATGTTAAAAGTTTACGACAATAACGACTTCAACAGCAACAGAAAACCGTGCGGACGAATTTCTATCTGGGAAGCCCACGACGCGGTCATATGATCGGCAACCGATCATCTTTATATTTTTTACAAAATATTCAACGAAAGCAAAATCAATTTAAATCTCACGCCATAGCGACCTTCGACGATTTGCACCTCCGGCGCCCACATATACACTTTACACAACTTTAACTTATCATATGCATATCATGATGATTTCGCATTTACATCTTGATAATCCTGAGAACTTTGCATAAAATGGTTCAGTTTATCGGCGATCGATCAGAACTGCATTGAAGTAATGTCAGAAAATCTCACAGATCATATTTATAAATGACATATGAAGGTAATAAAGAGTAATCGTGCTTAAAAATTCTAATTAAACATTATAAACAAGAGGCCCATGGGCCACATCGCTCACCTGAGCACACTGGCTAGGAAGAAGCAGTAATCAGTTCAGTATATTGAAAAGTTTTAAGGGGAGGGGGCGTAAACTTAAATTTACACTACCCCAGGATGCTACTCTATCAATGTTACTAATCATGGCTTTGCTGTTTTTAAACAGAAGAATTTTAAAGATATTTTCCCCTATGTATTCCTATGTAAAACTCTGATTGGCCATTGTGGCCCCATCCTACCCACCGTAAATTTGAACAAATTTGAATCTATATATACTACCTGTGGATGCTCCTATTATAATATGACTAATCATGGCTTTGCTGTTCTTGAGCAGTAGATTTTTTTCAATATAATTCCTATATATTCTTATGCAAAACTTTGACCCTCTGTTGTGCCCCAACCCCTGGGGGGGGGGGGGGTTCATGATTTGAACAAACTTGATTCTACAATATCTAAGGTTGTTTATGTATATATATGACTAATAATAATGGCTCTTGAGAAGAAGATTTCAAAGATATTTCCTATGTAACGTGTATGATCAGGTTCTTACAAGGGATATACAGGTTTTCCTTTTACTCTGTCTGAGTTATGATTGGACAGCTATGTCTGAGGGTATATCACATAGTACTTAAATTTTCTCTTTCATCTAGTGATGGGGACTGGGTAAGGTACTACTTGCATCGTGTTTCTCCCCTAGGTTTCCATTGATAGATAAGAACCAGTTGTCTCAATCTTCTTCAGATTTACTACACCCAGAACTAAAGTACTTTTAAAACAAAGATTGCATTGAAGTCTATGGAGCAATTTCTTAAAAATAAAAATTCAAATAATAAGAATATCAATAAATACTGTAGTGAAAAAATGCACTAAAACACATTAGAAATAGAATGTCAATTGAAAATGATTTTTTTTACCAGGAAAGATTTTTAAATTTAATTGGTTTTTTTATTAATTAAAAACAGAGGGAGATAACTCTTACCAAAATTCAAGGTCATAAATTAGGACACATCCCACCCTTACATGCTAATAGTAATAAATGGTAATTCTGTCTAAATATACTGAGTATTCAACACCTACACATCTGTTATGTATTCAATTTCATTGAATCTTTTGTTACTAGGATGGAATACCTTAACTTCCTTATTGCTGATTCATCATCCAACTTCTTCAGCTACCTTCTGAATGCCTGACTTTCCTTAAGCTTTGCCTTATATACCATAAGGCTAGTGCATTCCAAGGGTTGTCAGGTCATTTCACAATTTGAAGTCTTCAATTGATGCGTTTTACTCCAATGCCCCTTAACCATTACACCTAATATCTATATTCATATGAAAACCTTGATCTGCTGTTGTGACCCGCCCTACCCCAAGGGATCATGATTTGAACAAACTTGAATCTACACTACTTGAGGATACTTCTATATTAATATGTCTAATAATGGCTTAGCTGTTCTTGAGAAGAAGATTTTTAAAGACATTTCCTATATATTCCTATGGTAAACTTTGACCCCACTGTTGTGGCCCTGCCCCATTCCCAGGGGCCATGGTTGGAACAAATTTGAATCTACACTACCTGAGAATACATGTACTTCTGTAATAATATGGCTATTCATGTCTTAGTTGTTCTTGAGAAGAAGATTTTCAAAGACATTTTTTATATATTCCTATGGTAAACTTTGACCCCACTGTTGTGGCCCTGCCCTACCCCCGGGGGTTATGATATGAACAAATTTGAATCTAGAGTATGTAATGAAGCTTTTACATAAGTTTCATCTTTTCTTGCCCATTGGTTCTTGAGAAGAAGATTTTTAAAAGAATTTTCACGAATTCTTAATTACCTCCCCTTGAAAGAGGGTGCGGCACTTCTTGTGAACAAACTTCAATCCCCTTCACCCAAGAATGCTTTGTGGCAAGTTTGGTTGAAATTGGCCCAGTGGTTCTTGAGAAGAAGTCGAAAATGTGAAAAGTTTACAGACGACAGACGGACACTCTTTAATCAGAAAAGCTCACTTGAGCCTTCGAGCCTTCGGCTCAGGTGAGCTAATTATGAGCAAAGCAAACACGGACATCTGAATGCATAGGTGGGATCAAATACCATGAGCAGTGAGCACCCCCTGCCGACCGGTCACACAGAAAATAGACACATTTAGAACCATAGAGACATAAGCTGGTGGAGAGGAAATGTACATGTACTCGGTGTAGGTATTTAAATTTGATAAATTTACGACTATGTAGATCTTATCAACAAAAGGGATGCGCATGAAATAGAAACTTGTTTAGGCATTAAAGAAAATAAGCATTGCCGCGCCCCATGTAGTAAATTACAAGAAAATTCGGTTCCGTCTTGTCACTGTTGATGGACTTTCGTGATTTATTAGAGACGAGTTTTGTTTTTTGTGGACAATCGATAGAAAGATGTCAATCATCAAGTGTCGGGACAGAGTCATTTTATTGAGGGTGAAAAGATATTATTACCATGTAACATAAGAAAAGTCCATGATAGAAGCGATTCGTATTGTGACAACTTTATTTGTTATAAGAAAAACATAATATGTAGTTTACAAAGTAGACATCGTCGATATATGGATTTATAAGCCATGTTTCATTTAATTTAATTTCAAATCTTTGAGACAGATTCAATTTTGTTAAACATGTACATATAAATGTCGTTGGTGTCGAAGTTATTTTGGATTTCCTTTTACCATTAAAAGAAGTTCATCCCTGAAAGCTTTGTTGAAGAGCCCATAGATTAATGGGTTAAAGGCTCCGTTCATGAAGTAGGCCGAGTTTGCCATGACCACAACTTTTCTTGTAGTATCAGACAAGTTTTCTTCGATTAGAGGGTCGATTGCGTTGATGCTTTCCACAACTATAGTTGGAATGTAACTCAAAACGTACAAAAGGGCTATCAAACTAAAAACAACAGTCGTAGCACTAATTCGGACGTCGGACTTGCTTCCATGCCGCCGAAGTTTGGTTCTAAAGTTTAGAAATTTCACTTTATATTTCAGTTTAATTTTGCTTTCGTCGATACTCATAGACCCGTTAATGACATAGTCTTGTTTAGGCTGTTTATCAGCCTCGTCTGTTGGGTTTTCTATAATTATTTCGTTAGATATGCTTGTTTTAGACCTATTATTTTCAGTATAATTGTTGACTGTTAGACAGGACACTGTTTTAGTCAAATCTGATAACACTTCCTCTTCAGTCTTTTTATCAGAATCCGTGAATCCTCTATTCACTATTCCAGCTGAGCTGGATTGATTTTCTACTGTGGCTTCACCTATCTTTTTTAGTGTAAATTCTTTCATTTTATTTTCATTTTCCTCATTTTGTGCGATGCATGTTTGCCCAGTTCTGTCCCCACAAACTTCTGATGCATAAGAATGGTTAAAATTTTTGCTAAACATGGTATTTGTGATACTAAATGGTGGCTTCTCTTCACATTGGTTTAGAACTTCCTCCTTTGTTTGCCTTCTTTGTTTCTGTGAATAAGAGGATACAGTTTTGATACTTTCGGACAAAGATCCCATTCGAATTTCTTCCCCGACAATTCTGTGCTTCCATTTAAGAATTGCTACGAAAATTAACGAGTATAAAACAACAATCATACCGATACAAGCAATTATAAAAATAAACAGGATGATGAAATAAATCCCCGGATACACAGATCCTTTAAAGTTGTCGTCATCCGCACAGTCTTTACCCGTAATATCCCGATATGTTGTGGTTACAATCTCCGATCCATGAAATAATACCATAGGCCAGCTCACAAGGATCATGACTGTCACAGTCCCAATTATTAAGTTTCTCACGCTCCTCATTGAAAGTCTCTTAAATGGTTTACATATTTTATAGTAACGGTCAAACGCTATCCCTACCAGAATGATACTAGCCCCTCCATTGGCAAAGACTTCTAGACATCGCACTAGTTTGCAAATTTCAGGGTAGTTTCCACTATACATAGGAAGGCGCTTGTCAAAAACTTCAAAAATCAACATAAAGCACGTTATTGTGTCAAAAGCAGATAGACATACAATAAATATATTGGCAGTGGTCTTCTTAAAACGAAATCGAAACACGTAAATCACCAGCGAATTTCCGAATATCCCCACAATAATGGCGATGATGTAGAACACGATGGTGGGTACATTAATGAGATACAGGCGCTCGTTCGCCAGCCACAGAAGGTATTCCTGGGAGACAGAGGTATTAATTATAGCTTCCACGTTCTGTTTTTCACTAGAGTAATCCAAGTTTAATGAAGTATTCACCATTTTGTTATGTTACATCGCTACACGCTTCTTGATGCGCTTTATCATGTCATTTCCTGGTCCGTTCTATTTCATCTGCATTAGTAAAATGTTTTTCACCTCGATTTTTGCGTTACAGTTAACTTTTAAAAATCTTGTTTACCTTTAAAATTAAAAGCTTAAATCGCTCATCCAAATAAACGGCCTTAGTATAATGTGCATTTCTGACAGTGAAAAGATTTGATCCGGAATAGGATATAAATACCGGCTTTTAAAAGCAATGAATAACAACAATTCCTTGTCGGCGGCGTGCACTACCTTCGTAAAAGGGGACCAACATTGCGCCGTGTTCACCTCTGATGAGTGTTGGTAAGAGATGATAAACCACAGTCCCTCGCTTATTTATGTTATTGTCATGGATCACTGGACAAATCAATGCAATGTTACTTTCACAAGTCGGAATTTTTTTTATCTTGGTAACTTAATTTATATCAAGAACGTCGAAAATTGTCCAGTGTTCTATTACTTTTTAAGCTGTGTCATACGCTGAAAAACGATTAGTATATACCAAGAAGATACGTTTGGATATTCAATATGCTTTGTTTCCTTATTGTGAAAAAGTAGAGGTACCAGTAAAAAAATTCTAAAGGAAAAAAAGTCAGGATATACACATGTACAAGTCCACAGTCTAATAAAGATCTTTCAGGTCTTTCTCTTGCAAACCGTTTAACACAGTAAACTAGAAATGAAGGACAGTTTTACTACAGTTCATGAAATTGAAAATACGTTAAAAAGTTATGTAGCCTATTTCGGTATATCCGGGTAGTTATGAAATAAAACTATCCCTCACGTTCTTTATGACGAGTTGATTCTAACAGGTGCGTAAACCTCACATCTGCGTTTTATAAACAGTTTATTTTTGCTAATGGATAAACAGCACCAAAGAACGAGGGCACTTTAGAAGGGCATTCAGCAGTAATTTGGGCGCACTTGAAAAGTTATTTATGCTAATGGATAAACAGCACCAAAGAACGAGGGCACTTCAGATGGGCATTCGGCAGGAATCTGGGCGCACTTGATTTGCTAAAAAGAACTTGAAAATTGGCTAGATGAGTCATTTTGTACAAAATATTACATTTTTAAACATGTTTTTCTAAAAATTTGCCGTCTCTGGGTAATTCCTCCAGTTAATGATACATGAGATACAGTATATAAAAGTCGTCACACATACCCCCGGTAGTTCAATTGTGAAAGGGAAATTATATATATGATACAATTACATAAATGACAGACATATACATGTATACAAAGTATAGCAACAAACACACACAATAAAAACAGAAAAAAAGAAGAAGAATTGAGGACATATGAATTTTGGAGGAACAAGTGCATCATGTATGACAAAAACACCTAACAGTGATGATCTCATAAAACTTACAAACAATACAAAATCTGTGAACAGGTCAGAAAAACACAAATCCCTGGAAATTCTGCAGGTGGGATCGGGTGCCTAGAAGGATTAAGCATCCCCTGTTGACAGGTCACACCCGCTGTGAGCGCTTTGTATTGATATAATTATAAGGAAAATAAAAAGTGATAAATTTTCACCTTGGCGAACACCAACATTACAGTTCAAATAATCTGTAAGTGTGCCCTTTAAATTAACCCATGGATTTAATTTCTATATACACATTTTTTATGTAGTTGAAACATTTCTTACTAACCCCCTTCTTACTTAGCTTATACCACAATCCAAATCTCCAAACAGTATCAAAATCTTGTTTAAAATCGATAAATGTGCAGAAAAAAGTTCTTCTATTTGAACTTTAATTTTTCCTCAGTGACACTTGGTATGAAAGGCTTTATCTCAAACGAAAGTTTGATGCAATATAATATTAAGCAGCAGGCAGTGCCAGGCACTGTAATTCTAAGAATTAAAATACAGTAATTATGTTTGAATTATTATACTGGGATATTGGATTTCAACTTTGTCCTGAATTAAAAACTCTTAAAAGTCTCAACAAAAACATGTTTATTTTAATTTTATTTCGAAATCTCTTTCGATTTATAATACATAATTCAAATAGTACCTACATGAAATTATACAAAGAATGAAACAGTTTTTGAATTGTTTTTTTTTTTTTATAATTACTTGTATACTATATATACGTCCCTTTTTTTCATTTGAATTTGTTTTTCCACATTAAGATAATCTCACCTCGAAAATGCTTGTTAAACACACTATATATAAGGGGGTTAAATGGAAGATTCATGAAGGAAGCGGAATAAGCCATCACCAAGAATTTTTGGTTTGTGGTTGACATCTCATTCAGATTAAATGGTTGTATTTTATTGATGGTCTCTACAATTAGAGTAGGAATGTAGCATACCACATAAATTACTGCTACCAAACAGAACATTACGGTTGTAGAACCAACGTTTTCATTACTAGTTGAACTACTTTTTCCTTCGTTTTCAATTCTCTTTGTATTTCTAGTTCTTCGTAAAACTTTATCCACTAGCTCTTCTTCGTATGTGCTTAACACTAGATGCCTTGTGGGCTCCTTGATTGAATTATCATCTGGTTCAGACGAAGTGACTTTGGGATGTGTAGTAATCTCAGCATCTGAGAACTTGAAAGATACACTCTTCTTAGGTTTCTCATTAACAAGCTGGGGTTCGTCCCGTACTTCATATTTACCATTAAGTTTTGCTAAAGCAGAATTATTTAACAGTTCATTTTTGTTTTCTGATTTATTTTTCAAAATACCCTTTATCGGAATAGGTGTATTTTGTAGTTCTGTCTTACTTAGACTATCTGGAGTTAAAGAATTTTCGCTATCACTTGAAGATTTGTATTTTTCACCTAGAACCACAAACCTGGACTGGTGTTTATTTTCCTTAATCCTTTGATCATTTTTCTGTATGTCAGAATTATTTTCTATTCCAAGTTTATCACCCATGACCATAGAATTGGACTGTTGTTTCTGTTCATTATCTATTCTTTTCTGTATTTTTCGTATCAAATCTTTGTTTGAAGATCGTTGAAATTGATAAGATGTATTAGAATACCAAATTCCCGTAATTTGATTTTCTCCAATAACTGCGAACTTTCTTTTCAAACATGCCCCGATAACACGACTATATAATGCTAGCAGTGCAATAATGCAACAAGATGTTATAACAAAAAGGAGAATAAAATACATTACAGAATAAAGCGAACCTTTAAAATTATCGTCAGCAGCACAGTCTTTTCCTGTAATTCCGGGATAAAGTGTCGCCATCGTTTCCGAACCATGAAATAATAATGCAGGCCAACTGAAAAATATCGCGGCTACAATACTAGCAATCAAAATTTTCTTTACCTTTTCAATTGAAATATGCTCCAAAGGTTTGCATACTTTATAATAGCGGTTTAATGCTACACATAGAAGTAAGATGGTAGTACACGATTTGGCAAAAACTTCTAAAAAGCGAACTATTTTACAAAGTGCAGGATAGTTACCACTGTACATCGGAAACCGCAGATCCAAAGTTTCCAAAATTAATAGAAAACATATGATTGTGTCAAATACTGCCAGGCAAGTTACAAATATGTTAGCTGTTGACTTCTTAAATCGGATTCCAAACACATATATCACAAGTAAATTTCCGATGAAACCCAAAATGGTGGAAATTATATAGATGATGAAAGTGGGGCGGTTAATTTCATATTGTCTTTCATTAGTAATCCATAATAAGGAATTGGTAGACACGTTTGAGACTGTAGAGCTACCGACTCCACGGATGTTAGCTATCGTGGTGGCCGTTGTATTAACACTCCAAGAAAAATTAGCCATGTTGCATTCATTATGATTTCATGCCTGCTTCACTTCCTGGCATGGTTGTCAAGGTACATATTGAGTTCTGTCTCTTTGTGAAAATCTGCAATTATTGGGCAAAGTATTCAAATGTGAAAGACACAGATTTTTCTTCTATCCATTTATTATTTTTTAAATGAAAGACAATTCTATTGAGTTTAAGAATTAAGGAAATTATCTATAACAATAAAAAGGTCAAAGTTCCGTTCGAAGGATTGAATTCCTATTTACGGATAGCGATATCTACTTACCATTACATAAATCCAGTTAGTTACCGACTATAGTATGGAATCTATCCTTCAAACAACGGAGTTCCTGCCTGTACATATTCTGAAAAAAGCTTTCATTCAGGTAAAAAAAGCTAATATTTCCTTCTCATTTAAAAGTTTGATGACTCATCTGTTACAAGTAACTTGCGTGTACTAAAATCTATTCAGATTTATATGCCCTATCCATATCAATGGTCTTGTATCTTCTTATATCATAAATATCAGGTTATGGATGAGTTTTAACAATTTATGTTAAAAGAGAAAACGAATCGAACACTCTAGAAAAAATGGAAAGATTTGATATTTAATTATGAAATACTGGATTTTGGTTTGGATCTGGCTCCAGGATCATGAAACAGACTTAAACTTATGTCAGATTTTCAATCATCTGTAAGATGTTTATTTAATAATCAATGAAATCCCGATCTTTGTAGATAGCAGCAATTTGGAGGAACAATATTATATAATATTTTCATTCTGGACTATTTTACTCCTACAACATTTCAATACAAGGTAGCGTTTTTGACTTAAGCTTAAGATCTTTCATGATCCAGGGGCCTGAAGAGAGAGAGAGAGAGAGAATTTATTTTTGCAATCCAAATTTTACTCGTAAAACAATTCATTTGATAATAAAAGTAAGTTTTATTCCATATCTAAGTGTAAACTTACCTGCCCTGATATATTTATTTCCTTGTAAGTGTGTACCAATAAGGACGTTAATGAAATCAAACTTATCCTGGTTTAATGCGCTGCTACCTCCACTTCAGGATGTGTCGACTAGATACAGGCTAACGACTCTACAGCTAACAAGACATCTAAACAGGCATCTCACTTAAATTCTTCATATTCAAAATGTACATGCTTATTGTTGAAAAACTCATGATACCATAGTTCACAAAGATGCGGTGCACCACGTATCCGCAAACTGATATTACCTTTCGGCAATACGAGTGTTAGTTACGATTTGGGGAAAAAACAAAACAAAACAAAAACAACATTGCATTGGGATTTTAAAAAAAAAATTGTTACCTGGATCACTGGCACACAGGTCATTTATCTTAATTAAATTATGCTAATTTATTAATAAAATAATGCATTACAATTTGTATGATGAAATATCGCATACTGATAAATTAACACCCGCAAAATATCGCATAATGATAAAAGATCAATCTGTAGCACTTCATAATAAATGTTTGAAAGTTAATATGATACAGCATATCGATTCTTACTTTTTGATAGCTGCATCACTAGCTGTACATATTTTCTATATGTTTTTACGAAAGTTACTTTTTATGATATATACATTTGGAAATCTTATTAAGGGTCAGACTCACAGGAAATTTTTCAACATCATTAATCAGCCATTAACACTTTTAACATTTCCAGTCAACGAAGGTGAGTTCGATCAATCCTACCTATACTGGATTCCTAAACTTCATAAAAATCAAAAAAAAAGATACATATGTGTTGTGTCTTTTATTTCGAGGTCACTGAGATTTATTGAGTAAAAATAAAAGACACAGCACAGCCCGCCACATCTGTTTCATATTTAGATGCTTTACTGACTATAATAGACTATAAGGGCCAACTAACTTTGACCTTGGAGTTTGACCTACTTTTGAAAAACTTTAACCTTGGCCATACCTTTTGAACGGTTGGTGCTAGGGCTTTCATACTTCACATATGTAATCCTTGTGACAAGACCTTCCTTTGGATACCAACAACTTTGACCCTTTGACCTTGGAGTTTGACTTACTTTTTGAAAAGTTTAACTTTGGTCATAACTTTTGAACGATTGGTGCTTCGGCTTTCATATTTCACCTGTGTATTTCTTGGAAAACGACCTTTCCTTGGGCACCATTAATTTTGCCCATTTGACCTTGACCTTGATGTTTGACATACTTTTAAAAAAAATTTAACCTTTTCCATATATATATTCAATGGTTGCTGCTAGGGCTTTCATATTTCACAGGTTTATTCTTCGAGACAAGACCTAACTTTTGGTACCAACATATTTGATTTTCATTTGAAAAAGTTTAACTCAGTGACCTTTGCTATAAGTTGCCATACGGAGGCATAAGTGTTTCACAAACACATCTTGTTTTTCTTAAAATATACACTATACTTCAATATATAATGCGCTCGGCACTTTGAAGTGAAAGTTGCGGGTCCTTCGGATGAGACCTTAAAAACCGAGTCCCGTGTCACGGCAGGCGTTGGCACGATAAAGATCCCTCACTCTCAATGGCCCTGAGTGCCGAGTAAAGGTCAAAATTTGAAGCCCTTCACCGGTATATGGTGACGTCTCCATATGAGTGAAAAATTCTCGAATGGGACGTAAAACAACATACAATCAATCAACAATCAATATACAATTTACTACTTACTAAACTTTACAGTCCTTTTTCGTTCACACATTGACTTCGTACCTCGTGAACTACTTGAAGTTGAAGACAATTACTTTGAGATAAATACTATACGCCTGTAGCAGGTATACATTTATACCTTGTATTTTAAATATTATGTTACTATTAATGTGTTCATGCATATATTTGTATACTGCCTTATTCCCCATATGATTTGTTTATTATAACAAACCTTTTCAAATACTAGCACGTGTTGCTTCCATCAAATCTGTTGGTTAATGTTTACGTTTGATGATCTAAATTCTCATTGGCTAACAATATGAAAGTTAACATTTTGGGTGTTACTTATTTCAGTCAAAGTTCATACCCTTGGGGTGTATTCACTGGATTTTAAGTTAAAGATTCTACTGTTTCGAAAGAGTATATAAACCCGTGTAACTTGTAACTGTTAGACACCTGGGGAACTTGGACAGCATTAATTTACTGTAGGTTTTCTCACTTTAGATTAAGAAAGGTTTATTAAGTATTTAACAGGTTGCACCACTAGAAATTATATTTAAGATATTAGGCATATTGACTAAGTTGTCATCATTTATTGCTCCTGTTAAATTTATTAGGCCATAAATCTAAAAGTTAGGTTTAGGATATTTCTAAATAATAAGGGGTATTCTAAATTACACTAGGCCTTTACCCTCGGCTAGGTTGGGCTAGCGTTTCTGTACGCTAGATTGGAGTGATGAGGATTTTCTACAAGGCAGGAATTTACCGTTGTTATTTTTTCATACTATCACAAAAATTAATAAATTTGTTGTTTGTTGATGTTGGTGTGTTCATTACAATTGACATGAGGTGTTGAAATAAGGTACAATCAAGCTTGGAAATAAGACCAACCAGAATCTCAAATCAAAGTAAGAGCCTGGGAAATAATAAACATAAAAATATAGTAGAGTGTTCAAAAATATTCTAAAACCACAAAATAAAAATGGTGTTCTAAGGTTTACTCCTATTTCACGCCATACTCTGTACAAACATCACTATTTCTACATTATATCTACTTTTACACTCATAATGACTATACATTACATGAGCAAATACTACTTTGAATCTAACTTACGAATTTTAAAAATATAGAACAAAGTTTTGTGGCTATTTCAGGAATGAAACCGACAATAAGCCAATATATATAGCTACTACTAATAAATAAAATAAAATAAACTTACCCAGAATAAATATACTCTAGTCATCTTAAATATTAACGATACATAATTTATATATAGTAGAAATGTGAGCTGTGAAACACTCGACTGCTCTTATCAATTGCTACGCCAAGTCTGATTTCTGAAAGCACGGTAAAACCTACTGAATAAGCTTCAAAGTATGGAGAACAACTTGGATAATAAATATTAGTTATACGGTATTCTGATGAAAATGTATGGAAACTATAATGGCCATGACATGGACATGTGACAGTCAATGTGTATCACTGTGGCATTACATGGAAGCCTTTTGCACAATACATTTTTTATTCTGACTGCAGCTAGAACATTTTTGTATCGAACAGAGCAGCTGAAACTGAACACCGACGTTTGTTCATAATGTACATGTATAAATCAAATTGATTCTATTCATTTAACATGTATTTATTAAATTCTTTCAGGAAAACTATGAATTTATGGTTATAAAACACATAAAGATGTAGAAAAATGTAGAAACTTAGTATAAGTACCAATAAGTCATGTCATGCTGTCTTTTTATTACAATTTATAATACGGTTGTTTTTGATATATATATATATATATATATATATATATATATATATATATATATATATATATATATATATATATATATATATATATATATATATATATATATATATATATATATATATATATAAAATAAAAACTGTATTTTACCATGCATAGAAGCGTAGAAAAAACATTAATATCATAATCATATATCAAATATAATCAAACAAATATAATCATACATCAAAGGCACTCGAACGTAAAATGCACATTTATTTTGCTTTGCTTATTACGATATGTATCACTTCATTACGAAAGAACTTGTTAAAGAGGCCATATATAACGGGATTGATGGCAATATTTACGAAATAGGCCGAGTTACAAAGTACGATGGTTTTTCTTGTAGTCATTGAAAGTTGTTCTTCATTTATAGGACTTAAGGCGTTTATGCTTTCTACAACTATAGTTGGAATATAGCTAAGTATATATACCAATGCTATCAAACTAAACATGGCGGTTGTAGAACCGAGTTTAACCTTGACCCTCCCACTCTGTCGACGAACCATGTATCTGGGTTTATAGAAACTGTCTCTGTTCCGCATTTTATTTTCTATTGCGTTTGAATTTTGCGGGTCAGCGAGGGTATGTATAGGGGTATCCATTATTTCTGTCTTTCTCTTAGACCCCCTTTCTGCTTCATGTTCGTTTGAGGTGCTGAAGTTAGATTCATCCCTATTGCATATTGTGAAGGCAGATATGCTTTTTGTAAGATCAGAAAACACATCATTTTCCTTTTTTAGTTTGAAGATATTTCTTTTCTTGTGATCAGGTTTATTTAGGGAATCGTGTCTTTTGACCGAATCGTCATTATCGAAAATAGAATCCCTTTTTGTTGATTGCCTATTTCTTTTACTTTGCTTTACACATCTGCTTATTTGTTTTGAAGAGTAAGAAGATTGCCTGGAATTGTTCGAGGTTGTTGGAATATTCTCACCAATTACATTACGTTTCCATTTTAAAATATTTATAAACACTAAAAGATACATGACAACAATTTCTACTAAACAAGAGAGAATAATGACGAATAGACCAAGGAAATAAATTCCGGTATACACAGATCCTTTAAAGCGGTCGTCGTCAGCACAGTCTGTTCCTCTTATTGTGGTATAAATAGTTGAAACTGTTTCTGGTCCGTGAAAGATTGCCATGGGCCAACTGAGAACCACCATTGTTATCACTATTCCCAATATGCTTTTTTTAACTGTTCTTATAGACAGTCTCTTGAACGGCTTCCAGACTTTGTAGAAGCGATCGAAAGCAATGCTTGCCATAATAAGACTGGCACATCCATTGGCAAACACTTCTAAGCATCGGACTACTTTGCAGATTTCTGGGAAGTTCCCGCTATACATGGGGAAACGTTTATCAAATACCTCGAAAATTAATAAAAGGCAAGTCAAAGTATCAAATGCAGACAAACTTATTATGTATGTGTGCACAGTTGATTTCTGCAAACGAAATCCAAAAACGTAGATAACGAGGAGATTCCCGAACATTCCAAAGAGTATCAACAGTATAAGAATCACCACAGTGGGCTTGTTGATTTCGTACAATCGTTCATTTGCAATCCACAAAATATAATCCTCGGGAATATAGGTATAGTTAAGGACTGTGGCATTTCTATTGTTTATCATCTTAATGTTCTTGCCAAAGCTTTTGAATTTTCCATTCTGTGTAGAATTTCTGGTTTTTTCCCACTTATGTTGAAAAAAAATTAAAATAAAAAATATTACTTCACTTTACTTTATTGCATATGAAATAGATTGATAGTTTAGAAATGCTTTTAACAAAACTATTAGAAGAGCGATATCAATATTTCAGATACAAAGAAATAATAAGAGAAATAAAAATCTTTTGGCTTTAAATGTCTACTAAAATCACAGAAAGTTAACAAGGTATACATGTACCAATCACTCGACTCTTTTCCCCGATTTTTTTTTTATCATGACAATTCGACGTCAGACAATATTAAAAATTGAGAGGTATTATTTCTATGTGTCAAGTTAAATATAAAATACATTTTCTCATATAACATTATTAAGTATAAACATTTACTATTGAACTTTTAAAAACTGTCTTCGTTCAGTGAAAGACTTCTTTAATTTAACGTAAACATTTTGTCCTGACATACTTCAAATTTAAATGCCCATTTGATATTTACCTTTGTGTGATGGACGTGGAGTTCACACTTAATTCCCTGTAATGTACAGAGTCGTAAACTTTTCTTCTCATGTCATCTAACTATACATAGATCCTGTTTGGTATTAAATAAATGGTGTATTATTCGACATAATACCTTAAGCTCCTTATGTTAAGTGAACACTTTGTTTTAAGAAACAAAGTATTTTATGTTCGGTATCAGACTATAGATATATGTATAAATCCATCGGAATCTATGCAATACAAAAGTTACACATCCTTTTTTATCCCCACTTTCTTAAGAAAGTTCAGATATATTTTTATTATCTCCATCCGTTCATGTATCCCATTTTACATTTTAAGTAGACGCCAATTCATCTTTAGAAATATAATTGGTTGTGTCCTGCATATGAGCAATAAGGATATGGGGATTTCATTTTCATATGATGAGCCAATTTAGAATCGAAAACAATTTTGCTACAAGAACAATACTCCAAGAATTACACCTACATTTTAAGCAGTAGTCAACTTATCTTTAGGAATGTGATTGGAGGTGCCCTGAAGATGCGCATTAGGGATTTGGAGTTTTCATCTGGTTGGCCAATAGGAGGCCGTAAACCGACATTTTCCTACCAAAAAATCCTTGTATTCACCTACATTTAATAATTAAGCAGTATCCACTTTTTTAGGAATATGATCTATTGTCTCCTGTACATCTGCAATAAGGTTTCGAAATTTTAGTTTTCATTCTGAGGACCAATTACGCACGAAAAAGTTATTGTACAAAGGGTCCATGGGCCTAAACGGTCACCTGATTGTATGCAACCCTGTGAACTTTGAATACCTCAGACTGGTAGGAAATTCATTATATGAAATACAAACATAAGAGGCCCATGGGCCACATGCTTATCTGAATTTGATACAGTGAAAAAAGTGAAGATAACAAACAGCGATCGATCTAAAAAAAAATCTATAAACAATATAAATCTGTGCGCAGGGCATCGAACACGGAAATTCCAGAGGTACGATCAGGTGCCTAGGAGGAGTAAGCATGCTCTGTTGACCAGACACACCCGCCCTGAGCCCTTTGTATAGATCAGGAAGACGGACAATTTCGAAGTCAATTCCTTTAGTATGAAAATAAAGGCCTAACAATCGGTATGAAACACACCAGCCAAAATATGACCCAATGATAGGTTACATTTGTTAACAAGGTCATTATAACGACCATAGAATCTACGAAATGCTGATTTAAACGAGGTTGTTGAAAACCCTGTAACATCACCTTATCTGTCAGTAGCTTGCCTCGGTTTAAAATTAATCGTACTCAGAGCATTGGTATGAAACACACCACCCAAAATATGACCCAATGATAGGTTACATTTGTTAACAAGGTCATTATAACGACCATAGAATCTATGAAATGCTGATTTAAGCGAGGTTGTTGAAAACGCTGTAACATCACCTTATCTGTCAGTAGCTTGCCTCGGTTTAAAATTAATCGTACTCAGAGCATTCTCTTGAGTATCAAATAATTTGGGAGACATAAACATCTTATGCGTTGATATGCGGAATATTACTACCTATACATAAAAAAGGAAAGTTGACGATGGAAAAGCTAAGTCATCTCATATTGTTATACAATTTAATTGTTAGTTGGCCCTTATCGTCTATAGTCAGTAAAACATCCAAATATGAAACAGGTGTGGCAGACTCTGTAGTGCTTTTATTTTAAGTTCACTGAGATATATCGAGTCGAAACATGAATGAAAGAAACTATTGTTAATTGATAAACATCTTTAATATATCTTAATGTTAATTGATAAACATCTTTAATATATCTGAATGTAGAGCTGAAGGACACAGTAAGGTTTTCTTCTTCTATTTAGAAGTTTTTGGATGAATTTTGCTTCATAGGAATATAACAAAAGTCGGTTAATAAAGGAGCACAATTAGTGCTCATCGAATTTCAACGGTTTCTGGAAAGACCTGGTTTCCGAAGACTACATAAATGTTGTCAAAGAGGAACTCCAGCATCTTTTGATATCAACTTCAGAGTACTTGTGTGTAGAATCCAAGTAATTTTGTTGATGACCAATCACAAAATACGAAAATTCAAAAAGACTAGTTTTTAATTTACCATGAGGAAGAGTTATATTAAGTATAGAAAAGTAATATGTTTTGACGATATTGACTTTAGAAAAAACTGGAGATTTTAAATTTTTCTAAAAGTTCTTTAGAAATTTTGAGAATCCACATCTGATTTACACCACTTCTAGAATATGCTTTAGCACAGTACGTCTGAAGTTTCTCCTTTACAGGGGTTAATATTTTTGTAAGGAATAAAGATAGCGGCATGATAGAGCATTTGCTGGACCCAGTAATGTATCTTTGTAAGGATGTTTATGAAGTTTAGGAATCCAGTAAAGGTAGTGTAGATCGAATTCACCTTTGTTGACTGGAATATTAAAATTATTTTACAATGAAATGTGATTTTGAAGAATATCATCCTTAAAAAGTGAAATGTGGGTATAAGTTGGATTTCCAGAGATTTGGAATTTAAACCAAGTTCATCTAAAATAAAATTATAATGATGAGCCTTACAAACAAAGACATTGTCTGCTGAAACCGTAACATGTTGTTCGTGTCGTCTTTCTAAATCTCTAATCACATCCGATTTAGTGAAAGCAGAAGGTTAGATGGTTCGTATATTGCCATTTAACTTTCTAATACGACTCTTGAATATAATTCTAAAACACTTAATCCATTCTGACAGTGTTCAGTTCTTCCCTTGCATATTTAGCCTAACATCTTGCATAATCCTTAACAGAACTCATAAAAGAAATGAAGTTCTATCGCCAATTGAAAAATTATATTTTCGAATATATTAGTATCATCAGTAATGTCCAGCGGGACTTTAGATGAAGAAGAAGAGCAAGATCACTTATGGGGATATTGTTTTAGATATTCAACATCTTCTACTCCTTTATTGGCAAATTTAAGTTTAAGGAACCAACGAGTTGAGTTGGAATTATCCTCCAACACATCCATAATCACAAACACTAGCTTGGATTCTGCAGTTGAAGAATTTAAGTATATGGACTTGCTTTAGCTTCTTCAAATAGTCCATTCCAAAATTTCAAGGGAACCGAGTAAAGTTGAGTGGAAATGTGATGAAAGCCTAGTTGTTTTTTTTTTTTTTTTTTTTTTTTTTTTTTTTCTTAAAGAAGGCAAAGGTGAATCAAAAGAGACAACATGTATATTTGGTCTATTGTATGATCGATGTCCATGACTACACCTCTATGTATAGTTTGAAAAGGTACCATCACATTCACATTTGCACACTGTGGGCTTGAAAGATTTCCTACTTTATTGATGTAGTCGTTGCAATCATACAGAAATTACTACCTTTAATTTTTTCTTCTTCGAATTTATCTTTAAGAAGTGTATTTTTTACTTGTTCTCTCAATTTTTATGTAGTGTTCCCAGAAATTATTGATTTTTTTTTTTATGATACATTATCTAAAATGTTGAATTAATAATATATGAAATGATTTAATGTTACTACATGTACTAGTATTTTATTTAATGACTATATACCCCATACATTCTAATGATATTTGGAACACTATTTATATTGAGGTAAACGACGTGTGTCTGATGAGTTATTGATGAAATTAGAATGTTGGTCTTTATGGCAACAATTACTTAACTTAAGGTCGTGAAAATTAGAAAATTTTTACAATACATGTATATACAAAAACTAGGATTTAAATGCGGCCAATTTGAAAAACTCAGAGGTAGTAATTTTAATAAGAGGTTGTACCTAAACTCGATTTTAACTCACTATTGAGACAATATATACAATCACATCCCCAGTTCAGCTTAATATCAGCAGGTATTGGGAAATAAACCCCTACTTTACGAAAAACACTTGCATAAAAAATAAATAAATAAGATGAGAATACATTTATCTGTCGTCTTGGCTGATGCCGTTATTATAATTTCATATCCTGATGTATTTCGGTTATAGCAGTTATCTTCCTTTGGAACTGTATTGAATATGAGACTTTATCAGAAGTGAAAGTGTGTATAATTAAGTATTATAATATCTTTGTTCTGTTCACTTATACACTTAATTATTTTCTTTGGACTGATCCTACTCCGTTAACAGTTCTTTGTTTAAATAATATATATTTTTTCATTGTTTTACTTTTGCTTTTTTTGTTGTGTAAATTTTATCTTTTTTCTACTTATGTTTCATGTTTTGTATTTTTTTTGTGTCTCTTTTGAAAATAGACATTGAAAACGGTGATTTCTTTCAAATTGGCGAACATTGATATAAAAGGATTCTTCATTCCCTTGTATTTTTGTTTTCTTCATATGGTATGAATAGGTTTGACGTGGCGCTACCATATACTGGAAAATTTTAATTTATCTTTATTCAACATTCTCTTAGTATCTTTAAAGTGGACTCGAAAACCCATCTTTTTAGACGTGCTTTCAATGTTTTAATTTTAGTATGAATTCTTAAATAAACTCAAAATCATCTTTTTTGTTCGCTATACTGTCTTTTCACTATCTTTTCAGTTTTAATATTTTTTTGTTTTCATTTGCGTAAGAACACATCCCATTTAATATCTGATTTCAGTAATTTGTTTTGTGTGTGTGTGTGTTCTATGTTCGTATGTGCATAATCATATTACATTTTATATCTTCTTATCTTCTATACTGGATTCGAAAATTACATAAAAATCTTTATACACAAAGATACATAGCGGGTTGTAGTAAATATTTTACCCTCTGTCTTTACTTCTTCCAAAAATGTTAACAGCAGTGAAGGAGAATATTCAGGAGCATTGTACAACGACATATTCGAGAAGTTGTATTAATCAGATGAGGATACTTAAAAACTCCAAGGTATTTTAGAAAAATTGAAATCACAAAATTTTACCAAAATCAATAGCATAAAACTTTCGACTTTTGGATACGTAATATATGTACAACCATTTTCCACGATAAATTAAACTCCATTCTTTTTGACAAAATAAACAGCTGCTTTTTCATTCGAGATGGAACTTGTAAATTCAAATACCTTGTCATTGGTCATCTGCAAAATTATTTTATTAGAAAAACATTCTGATTATACACACAAGATATATCAACTCTGAAGTTGATATTAAAAAGATGCTTGAGTTTCTGATTGACAACATCTAGTATGTAGTTTTTGGAGATCAAGTCTTCCAACAATCTGTTGATGGTATACCTTTAAATGATTCCCTTTTAAATTGGGTATTAATTGCGCCCCGTTATTAGCAGATCTATTTTTTTTTATTCATATAAAACAGACTTTATTCAAAATACTTCCACAATTCGACATTTTGATATATCGGCGACGTTTTATTAATTAACAATATCCTTTGTCATTCTTAGGTTGATTCGATACATCCAGTTGAATTCGAAATAAAAGACACAACAGTGTCTGACAAACCTGTTCCATATTTGGATATTATACTAAAAAAAGAAAATAATGGCAAACTAGCAACAAAACTTTATGATAAAAGTGATAACCTTAACTTCTCTATTGTTCACTTCCCTTATTTAGGAAGCAATATACTACATGTATTATCATCTCCATATGGAGTATAAGTCTCCAAGTTGATTCGATACGCAAAACAAGTTCTACGTACCTGTTTACGGATTTGCATTGTTTGTAGATTTTTTTCGACATAGCAAATTTTTTTTTTCTGTTCGTAATCTTCACTTTCTCAATGTACATGTTTTCTTATAATGATGAAGAATGACAATTCTGATATGAAGATAATGGAGAATCACAGATTTTCTAAACACTGTAATTTTTAAAATCTTTTAATTAGAATATTTTCATAAAAATACATTTAAAGAAATGTTCCTTTTTAAAAACGTACCGCTTCTATAAAAATAATGTATTGCAACGAATATGTACATAATTATGAAATTATTCTGTTTATTGAAGTTATCATATGTGTACCGGTCAAACACGTGTTTACTCGGTGTCTATGTAGACTGCCAATCTGATTGGCTATTGTATTTATAGAATACATGTTCTACTGGTATTCAAATGAACCATTTGACCGGTTTTTTTTATGCCCCCATATCGAAGATTCAGTGTATTCCTTGTGACAAGATCTTTCTTTGGGTACCACCATATTTGACCTTTGACCTTGACCTTGGAGTTTGACCCAGTTTTGCAAAATTTTACCAAAGTTTAACCTTGGCCATAACTTTTGAACAATTGGTGCCAGGGCTTTCACACTTCACATGTAAAATCCTTGTGACAAGATCTAACTTTGGATACCAACAATTTTGACCTTGACCTTGGAGTTTGACCTACTTTAAAAAAAACTTTAACGTTGGCCATAACTTTTGAACGGTTGATGCTAGAGCTCTCGTACTTTACATGTGTAATCCTTGTGACAAGACCTTTCTTTGGATACCAATGACCCTTTGACCTTGACCTTGGAGTTTGGCCTACTTTTGGAACTTTAACCTTGGTCATAACTTTTGAACGATTGGTGCTTCGGCTTTCACATTTCACCTGTGTATTTCTTGGGAGAAGGCCTTTCCTTGGGCACCATTAATTTTGACCATTTGACCTTGATGTTTGACATACTTTTGAAAAAACTTTAACCTTTTTCATATCTATTCAATGGTTGCTGCTAGGGCTTTCACATTTCACTGGTTTATTCCTCAAGACAAGACCTTACTTTGGGTACCAACATATTTTATTTGCATTTGAGAAAGTTTAACCTTTGCTATAAGTTGCCATACGGGGGAATCAGTGTTTCACAAACACATCTTTTTTCCTCTCTAAAGAAATGGGCGTGTCATTATGTGACAATCAACGTTCAAAAGAAAGCTCAAAATGTTCCATTCAAACGGAAAATTTATCACTTCAATGCGCTTCATTGTACCTAAGAAACAAGTCTTTAACTTGTGACAAGGATGCATATGATAAAAATACATGTACATATCAATCTTCGATCAGATATTTCACTAAATCTAACATACTACATTTATGAATCACAGATTTGTCTGTAATGAGTAGTAAATATATTAGAAATGTTCCGTAATGATATTTGTTTAAAAAAAAACACACGTAATTTTGTTCTCAAAACACAAGTTTTGTTCATTCACAATTTTTTTAGTCATTCAAATTTGCTATGCAAATTTTATTAGCTACAACAAAATGCTATAAAAACAATTCATGGAATTTAATTCAGCAAAAACATTTAATCTCGCAAGTAGAACTTCACAAAATAATTCAGCCGTAAATGTCACAATGACTTTATTTTATAAACATTAAAAACCATCATTACCGCGACAGGCATTCATCGCGCGGTTATATGATGATATGACAGGTATTTTCTTTTTGAGGCATATTCCTACACAACTGAACCAGTGACTTTTCACCACATCGTTATTAATCTTCTTGACTGAACCATTGTCTTATTGTAGTCCTTTGCACTAAGACATAAGAATTTCCGGATATTCTTCCGCTTATTGACGTGGGCGTGAATTTCCTCAATGCAACAGTGACTGTTTTTCAGAGTCATATTATTAATTCGCTCTCAAGTTTCACGAGGTGTGATATTGGAAAACAGTGCATCACTGTTTAACCTCAGTTTTGGAAGAATGAACATTTAAGCAGAAAACTTGAATCTGTTCACTTTAGACTTTTGCTGAGTAAATATGAAAGATTACTGTGATCACCAGGAACACAAACGATCTTCATCCTCCTCCTTACAAGAGTCTGAAGTAAAACTACGCAGGAAAGAAAGAGTGCCGAAATGTTGTGTCGTGGGGGACGGGGGCACGGGCAAAACCAGCATGATGATGAGGTACACTCTAGGGAAAATACTCTCAGACTACCAACCAACCTGCTTTGAAAATTACACAAGTAAGTTTAGAGAGAATGAATTCAAAAAATTGAGATTTTAATTATTACAACTATGTTATGATATTGAGTTAACATTGTTCAAAATGAATCAAGATCAGAATAAGATTGATTTGAATTTGGGGCTAAAATATTTAACGTAAGTTTCTATATTTGATCATGGATTAGTCCATGTTTAATAGTGCTTGATCATAGTCATTTCCGTGCATTGTGTTATTGAGAAATATTATTTATTTTAAAACAAACTGTGTCCATTCAATTTCAAACAAGCTCACGTATCAATATCTCAAACTGGGAAGACGTAAAACACGTATCATAAGATTCTTTTTTGCACCAAAAATAATATTCTCTAGTTTTAGTAAGAAAAGTTTCTTTAATTCAAATAATTTTTTTTCCTGAAAAGAAATTTTAAAAGTTTTAGCAATCATTTTATTTAAAGCAGAAGAAAACTGAAAATCTGAGATTAACACTGAGATTAACAACAAGAGATATATTTTTATTTGAAAAAACTGAATTAAAAAAACTCCCTGAAGTAATAAATTCTAATGATATTGAAAACAAAATGAAGATGTCATCGATTGACAGTGTTGCCAAAATGTCAAAAAGTTACGTAATAAACAAAAATTAATCATATGCAAAATTGTACTGAACCAATGAGCTGAAAATATCAGATTTATTCACCAGCAGTTGTGTAAACTGTACTTCTGTAGACATATTTAGGCCCTTTGGGTTAAAGCTGTTTTATTATGCAATTTTATTGTCTGTTTTGCACCTGAAGCAAACAACTTTTGTCACGGTTTCTAATGTCTTTCGTTGAATGCTGTGCAGGTAAATTCTAAATGATTTCACAGGTGTGTCGATTATGCATTTCTTAAGGAGCGCATTTCTGAGGGTATCCGCTACAACAGTCCATGTCACTGTGCTTATTTGTAAGACTAATTCATATCAATCCTATCATACCCTTAATTATATTGTTACCGACCGGAAGACAACTTACACGCAAGGACGTTCATCTTGCTGGAAGAACGTCATTTCATAGTACACATTTAAGGATATACATGTACACGTATATTTTCCCATCAAATTTAGTTCAAAATATTAAAGTCGTTGATTTTTTTCCCATCAAATTTTGTTTAAATAAAACAGTTGTTGCATTTTTACGTGTATTTCCCAACATATTCGAGGAATAACCAAATCTTTGCAATCCTGAGAAAATTATTTTCTCTTATTCAGTCTGTCCTTGTGAATCTTATCTCTACTTCAACAAACGGAATGTACATATCACACACGTAGTATGATATGTATCGTGGTACACTTCCTGACTTATTAGTCAACAGTTTATATGTACATGTAAATAGCCCAGAAAGTTCATTCAAGGTCACAATTTCCGTTTGTCTCGTCTTTATCTGTAAACGGCAATTAGACATTCCTCAGCTTTCCATTTGGAAATATATATTTCATTTATTCTTTTTATAGATTGAGGTGGGGAATATTATTATACTGAGAAAAATTTATATTGAAAAAAAGAAAAAGAAAAATGGAGCTTTCATATTGTCATTTCGTTCACTGTTGTCAGTTAAAACCACGATTTTTACATATTAAACATTTGTCTATCATTAATAACAAAGACTTGTAGTCTGAATAAAATGTATATGTAATCAATCTGAATTTAGTGTACATTCTTTTTCATCCAAAGGACTTTTTAACTATAAAACGACCACTAAATATTTGTTTTGACTGTCTTATTAAATCAAAATAAATATAACTTTTTCATTGAATGAACGCGTTCCTGAGCTTAAAACTTAGGAATATAATTAAAGCAACAATAAATCTTATATGTCAGTTGACAAATAGTTTAAATAACATTGCATGACAAAAAATTCACCAATAAAAATACGATGTTAATCTTTTTATTTGTCGGTGGAATTTCTGTCCACTGATTATAACAGACGAGATTATTTATACCTCTGTAGCTAATAAAATTTATGATATAGTCAAGTTTTTACCTTGAGCAAAAAATAAATTCTTTTTTACGTTGTTGGCAAGATGAAATAACAGATATATGGTGCGTCCTAGTGACTTGTGTACAGTGTAAGTCATTCATTCAGATCTGAGGGCGTCTCACGTAAAAAGTCATTAATGACTCGTCTGTTAAGTGATGAGATCATAGAAGAATTATGTTACTATTGTGTACTTACACAACACTACGTATCATATATATATCAAACCAGAGAAGAAATCTGAGCTATTTGATAGGCTTATTATTATCTGATTTGGCACCGAAATACACAGATATTATATGACATTGAAGTCAACGAAATTTAAAACTATTTTTTGATTATTTTTTTTTTATTAATTTCGTTTGCTTAATATTTACAGTACCGAATGAGGATATGACTCATGTATAAATTTTAAGATGTTGATGTTCAATATGCTTGTCTATTTTTGAGGAAGAAGAAAATTTTCGATCAACTTTTTCAGAATATACAAAAATATTGCAATTCAAGCAAAACTACCAGGAACTAGTTAAGCAATGCAGAATACTCCATTATGTGTTGTTTACTTGTAATTTATAACATAAGGAAATACAGTCTCCATCACAAATACAAATCGTTAAATATTTGTGGAAACAAGGAAAATAATGCATATTTTTTTTTTCCATTTTATTTTTCCTCTCGATGGTGTAATATTTGGTGTTGGCGAAATCTGCGATATCGATTTGGAGAATCGAGTTAAAATATTCCTGTTCGTGTATAGCATATCAAATTCAAATTTTAAAAAAAAAAGTTATTTTACTTCATTTTTTAGCGATACCAGAAGCATTTACATGTATCATGTTTTAAACACTTACTCTATATAACATATGTGCTTCATGTAAAGGCTTCATTATAAAGTTTCATTTAACTATTATATTTTTCAAACATAATATATAAGTGATAACTAGTTTTGAATTTTGGTTAAAAGTTATTTTTGCAATGTCTACACTCGTGCATCTGAATTCATGACTATAAATCATGTTTAAAAATTGATTTAGAATGGCATACGAATAACTCTTAGTCTTATAGATTAAAGAAGATGGGCGTGTTTGGCGTGTGATCTGCAGGAATAAGGCGTACGAAACATTTATAGTTTAAATGTCTACGATTTGGTCGGCTGACCACAGCTGGACATACTTTACAAAGTTACGCACATGGGAAACACAGGCACTTGGGGTCTGTACCCCCCCCCCCTTTCCATTTTTTTTCTTTTTAAATATGGGGTCAAGTCACCTTTTTCCTATTTTTGTATTCTAATATGCACTATATGTTATCAGTAATGTAACTTTTTTGTCTCTATATGCTGTTTTTAAATATACCGTTTTCGACTGATACATAAAGAGAGAGAAGGCTTGCAACTCTTTTCTCATCGTCTGCCTCATCTCGCTTAAACTTCGCCTGATTATTTATCTAAAGCATAAGAACACATGGAATATGCATACATCAATAAATTTGTTACACATTCTTCTTCCTTTTCATATTTCCATTTAATTTCTATGTGCCCCCGATTTGTAAATATTTCGATTAAATCAACCGCATCTAGGGTAAATTTTGTTGATGTGCACTAGCTGGGACGGAAGTGTCCGATATTTTCGGGCGTCATCATTAAGTGTAATGTCATTCGGAACATTAAATGAAAGAGGGAAAAATATCCCGAATTTTCGCTTCATAATATATGTAACGGTAAGTTTTGTGTATAAGATAACTCTAACTAGCAGATTCTAATGGATGAAGATTAACATTCAACATACGACTTAGACAACCAAATTTCTCAATATTTTTATTTCAAAGCTTGGAATTTTTATTTAATACAGAACATTTGTAAAATTAGAGTTACCGTTATTGCACTTCCGTCCCAGCTAGTGCACATCAACAAAATTTACCCTAGATGCGGTTGATTTAATCGAAATATTTACAAATCGGGGGCACATAGAAATTAAATGGAAATATGAAAAGGAAGAAGAATGTGTAACAAATTTATTGATGTATGCATATTCCATGTGTTCTTATGCTTTAGATAAATAATCAGGCGAAGTTTAAGCGAGGTGAGGCAGACGACGAGAAAAGAGTTGCAAGCCTTCTCTCTTTTTATGTATCAGTCGAAAACGGTATATTTAAAAACAGCATATAGAGACAAAAGAGTTACATTACTGATAACATATAGTGCATATTAGAATACAAAAATAGTAAAAAGGTGACTTGACCCCATATTTAAAAAGAAAAAAAATGGAAAAGGGGGGGGGGTCCAGACCCCAAGTGCCTGTGATGGGAAAATGTTACATTTAGTTTGAAATACTTTGTCAAATTTAATATGTCAGTCCGCTTATCTTAATAATTACTACATGTAAAACTTATTAACGCCTCAAATAAATAATAAACACCTATAGGGTACTGTTAAATGCAATTACAAGTACATGTATATATTAAAGTATCAATAGGTTGGAAGAATTGCTTTCGCTTTCGGTGCAACAGAACCAGAATTTATCTATTTGAAAATAAATCAGTCAGAAATTACACTGACAAATCAATTAATTGTTTACACAAAAAAAATATTAACGCTCCATGCGAGGCTCGAACCAAAACTATTTCTTTTCGTTGCACTGGACAGGTAACGCTTACTACTGAGCTATCACCGCTACATACACCTTTTATTTTTTAAAGCGACAATGAAGCATCGCATTTACACATTGGAATTTTTTTTTGGAAAAAGTTAATTTTCTATCGTCTCTGGGTCTTCTCTCCATTTTTTTTTTTACAAATGTTTGTTTGTTTCTTTGAATTAAAATGCACACAAATAACTTTTCAAAATCATGGAGAGATGACCCAGAGATGGCAAATTTTTAGAAAAACGTGTTTAAAAATGTAACATTTTGTACCATCTAGCCGATTTTCAAGTTCTTTTTTAGCAAATCAAAATACAAATATCGGGAAAATATGTCCCTTTCCTATTTCACAGGAACCCGATACATCAAAAGAATGCTAAAATTTCATGTGACAGAACAATGCCAATCAAAAGCGCCCTCGTTTTTTCGCTAAAAAGATTTGAATTTTATGGATAAGAATTTTTTATATAATGGTTTTAAAATTTACATGTGAAAGTTCACTGAAAGATTAAAATATTACACCTTCACCCAAGGATACTCTGTGCCAAGTTTGGTTGAAAAGTTTACATTGACGATGACTGAGAACAGACAAATTTTGATCCTCGTGAGTCAGCAAGATTCTGGTTTCCCCTCATTGACTTTGTCTCAGAAAATAGACAGTTGATATGAGGAACTAGGGTCTTTCTTACTCCGTCAATGGCATACGTTATATATTTATAGTTATTTGACCATTACAGATTAGTTTTCATTGACTTGAGTGAAAAGTATTACTGATCATTTTTTTTAAATGACATATTACAGTTGATGTACGAGATGGAGAAGACACACACCAACTTTGTGTACTAGACACTGCTGGTCAGGTAAGCTGCTAAGCTCTTCAGTATGACGATTATAAATTTGCAATGGTTAAATCAATGCTGTGTTTGGGAAAAGTCAATTTTATTGATTGATATATATATATATATATATATATATATATATATATATATATATATATATATATATATATATATATAATTTTTGGTCATGGAAAGTTATTTAAACAATTAAGTCGGTAAGACTTTATATTATATTCTTGTTCTGATTTCAGGAAACATACGATCGTCTACGAACGTTGGCGTATTCCGATACAGATGTGTTTGTCGTTTGTTTCTCAGTCTATGACAGTGACTCGTTTGAAAATGTTAAACAGAAGTGGATTCCAGAAATTAAACAATTCAAACCTGACACCCCGTTTTTCATTGTGGGGACACACACAGACTTACGCCATTCTGTAGTGGACATTACGGACGACTGTATCAGTACGGCTAAAGGAAAGAAATGTGCCAAGAAGTGGGGAGCTATGAAATATCTAGAGTGCAGCTCTATAGATGGGTCAGGGCTTGATGAAGTGTTTCAGTTAGCCTACTCAGCAGCAGTTTCTCCTAAAAAGAAACGACAAACATGGAAAAGTTTCAAAGACGCCTTTAAAAGACGCACCATGAAGTTTTAGTGCAATGCATCACTTACTGTATATTGATAAGTTGCCATTATACAGATATAAGATGTTTAGATTATTCCTGTTAATTGTTGTGTTACCCGTATGTAAATGTCTACGGTACAAGTGCTATTTCACGAAATCCACATTTTTAAACAAATTAAATCGTATGTTAATTGTGAAATAAATGCTGTTTTGAAAAGGTAAATATTTGCGTGTTGAATTGAACTGCGATTGTAACCGGTCAACAGGAGATGTTTAGTCCTTCTAGGCACCTGATCCTTTCTATGATGATTTGTTTTCTTCACTGAATTTATGAGATATATCACTACTCGTTGTATTCACCTCTAACATACTTCGTAAAGGGACTCAATTCGATTTAAATTGATTCTGATGTACCTTTATCTTAAAATTTTGATAATTTTCTACTTGTTACATTGTACAATAAGGAGACTGAATGGGAATTCTTAAAGTTTACATTCCTTTATACATTCCTGTCTCCAGAAAATGCAAATAAATCTTAGAAAACGTATGCTTCATTATAAATTTGTCTGTTGCATTCAAAATTTTCAATTTTAAACGAACACTACCTAAATATTAATCATCTGAAACAAAATCCTCCTAAGTGCTCTTGCATTTCCTGTTCTTTCAACTGAACACATTATTATGGTGATGTAAAACTATAAATGGATACCATTTTTAAAGTCCAAAATTCATTAGTTTATTAGAATAAATAAAATTACAGTGATAAAGATGACGAAATTTGATCAATTTTGTAAATCCAGTAAACACAGTTGTTAAACTGTTGAAAAATAATTATGTGTTGTTACACTACATATTATATTAAAAATGTTTTAATTTGTTGGAGTCAAATAATGGCGTGTCAAAAAGGTTGTAAAATTCCTGATTATTTATAATAAAACGCTTATTGACTTTTGAATTCGGTTTACTTGTGACTATACGGACCTGTTCGGCCTCGGTCAACCAATATCTGACTCACCTCATCAAAAGTCAACAATAGATACATATTGACAACAATTCCCTCACATTTTTCAGTGAGTGATTAAGGAAGTATAGATGAAGATTTTTCATTCACTAATAAGAACTAACAACAAGAAGAAGCGCTTTATCTTGTCTGTAGTAAATGTTCCCTTCCACGATACTAAATCAAACAAATCTTGCTTTTCTAAGGAAATTTTTAACTAAATAAATTCCAAAGTTTAGTCACTAAGGTTTTGCCTGTAACAAAGCAATTAAAAAGTATTCAAAATCCAAGCTACTATACTTTACGATTCAGGTCAAGATACAAAGAAAGATAACTCAAAATTGCTGCCGTCCAATTTAAGTATAAACAAATTTACGAATAATGCTGATGTAATTAAGTAGTCCGATCCTCAGGTTTTGAATATCAGCAGTTATGTAATTGAAAATGCTCACAAAAATTCTCTAAATTCACATAGTAATTTATATTTACTAGGGATGGCAATCGAATAATCAATTTCCAATCGGTTAACCGCAAGACGTTCCGACCGATTAATCGGTTAATCTATCAAAAATTCTTGACATATTTTATCTATGCAAGTTCTATTCAAATAAAGAAGATTAAAAAGGAGTTAGCAACATTAGGTTTATATTTTATCAGAACACTAAATAAATTTTATATCAACTTTAATAAGCAAAAATAAATAAATAAAGAATGAAAGAAAAAAAGAAAAAAAAGAAAAATTAGGAAAACAAGGACACATGCCTGAAATATCAGATACATTAAATTATTTTCAGACCAGATATAAAGCAAGTTCATTTGGCATTGTCACCATCATCAAAACTAAGTCGGACCAGTCACTGATACATTTACAGTCAGACCGACCTGATGAACTCGAGAACTGAATACTATAATAGTAAGTATCGAAAGTGAAAAAGAATTATTGTTTACAGAAATTATTTGAATTCATGAATATCTCAATGTAGCAAACTGTCCGACCTTCTGTCACTGTGAACAGTGTCGGTTCGCATTTCCTCGAATCAAAACAAAACGCTTTATATATATCTCTGTACACATGAAGAATTTAAAGTTTGATACACTGAAATTAATATGAACGAATACAACATTTCCATTTTATCTATAGAAGAAACGGAAGTATGCATACAATATCGGCATGGGGTGGGGGTGGGGTATCCCCACACACTCCTTTGTTTGAAAATATTAAGAAACAATATATTCCATTTATATCACAAAAGAGTTGAACATACGCCATTGTGGGTTCACTTTTAGCAATAAATAGAATTAAAATTCATTAAATAAAGGTAAATTTCAATGTCAGTTGAATTTCATATCCAGGTAAGAAATATGAATGTGTATATATGGACTACATACATGTACGGTTACTGGACACGTGGGAATAAAATCCTAAGTAAGTTTTACTTAAATACAAAACATACTAATAGTCAATATTTAATATGCATACACGAATTAACAATTAGTACTTCAGAAATTCAATGGACTAAATATATCTGCAATGTATCCGATGTTTCATCAAACTCGAATATAGTCTGTGTCGCAAAAAAAGAAAAGTGGGAAAGGGGGGGGGGGGTCGTAGTAAAAAAAAATTGCCTATAAATCTACATTTAAATGCGCGTTACATTTAAAAACTCTGATAAAATTAAATATCAATATCACTTTTAAAGCAAATGATATTTTCAAACTTGGAATTTTTTTATGTGTCATTGTACATTCATAGCAATTGATTGTCCCAAGTCTGAAAAACGCTTGAGAAACATGATTTAGGGAGAAAGGAGGAGGGGTGATTTTCCGCTATAAATTCAAAACGGGTCGTTTAAAAGTTTTACCAAAAAATATGAAGATCATGTTTGCAACCAGCTACATGCATTACATTTCAAGTTATATAATAGGATCTTTTATAAGCTGTCTTGGCTACCTTGGGTACAAGACTGACAGTCCATACCATCAGACTGTTCTAAAGGCACCGTCCCTTGGTACCCAAGGCAGTCAGGCCAACAAGTTAAGTTTTCCTTCTGTAAGCTGTCTTGGTTGCTTGGGGTACAAGACCGAGCAAGCTGGTTCTTCTGAAATACATATTGCCAGACTGTTCAAAAGGCATCATCCCTTGGTACCCTATGCTGCCAGGCCAGCAATATATATATTCTCCACTTCTCCATATATAATTTGTAGAGCCACAAACTGATCTGCTTTGTTATACTTTCATTATGACAGTAATTTTATGATTACTTGCTTACTGTAACTACTGCTTCTTAACCTAGTCTGTTCATTGAAGTGTACGAGGGGTGATCAAAAAGTTCGCGAACTATCTCAATATTTACAAAACCACAATTCAGATCAGCATGAAATTTGGTACACGTATAGTCATACACATGTTCTATAAATAACAGATGTTAAATAATGTTTTGCTCCGTGTTTGTGACGTCACAAAGTGAAAATGACGTCAATATGTAGGTGACTTGTGACAAAAATGGTTGACTCAGTCCTACTCGAGAAACGAAAAGCTGTAAAGTTTAACGTTATCAGGTTATATCTTGGAAATTCCTTTGCAGTAGAATATGATAATTTGTACAAGGTTTATGAAAACGATAGACCTACCAGAAGTTCAATCATTAATTAGATTGATTATTTTAGTGAAGGCAGGGAGATGGTTAAAAAGAATGTTTGTTCTGTTGCCCAGCGAAAGCAAGTCGGGGAAAAGATGTGTCCGTAGTTGAGCAATTTGTTAGGAAACATCGTCAAGTTACGATTGGAAAAATAGTTGAATTTCTTAACAATAATATAATTATTAATTCCCTAAAATATCGTTTACTTTAGACTTTAAACATATGAGATATGATAAAGAGAAGGCACCCATACTTTATCCACATTGGATAAACGACGCTCCTAAGACAGAGGACTCGGGTTGTGATGGTCACCATGTTAATTCAGGGAAGGGATATCCTTATCCACCTATCCTATTGCCGAGATTTAGCAATTTCTGACAGATGGACTGTTCTTATTATAAAAAATGACTTGCATGGTAAAAAATATGAGACTCGGAAATTTTTTTAGCTTCTGTGAACAGACCGCTACGGAGCATGTCACGTGACCGCCTTGATCACGTGATTCGCGCATGGGCAGAACAATGGCAGATGTGCATTAAAATCGGAGAGGACCACTTTAAAAAATAATAAACACTGAAACCTCATTTCATTTCTTTTAAGGAAGTAATTCATTTAGTTCGCGAACTTTTTGATCACCCCTCGTACAGCAGTTTGGTTTTCCTTTATATTGCATGTGATGCTTATATTTCATTGTATGAACCATACCAGTAATTTAATTTGATTGTTAGCTGAGAACACTTGCAAGTGAGGATCAGGTCAATACTGCACCCAATGCAGTCATTTCTTGTTATAATCACGATTGTATTGTTTTTAATTGTACATGCCCCTTGAGGGCCCTTGATTGGTGAATAAACATATTCAACATAAATAAAGTATTTTTTCCAAAATTAAACGATAGGTTTTTTTCATAAAAAAAAAAATACATGTATTTGAATTGAAAAATTCGCATTTTTCAAGACTAAGATGAACCATCATTTTTATAATTATATCGATATATACTTCTATAAAATTACTTTATTTATGTGTTTAATGGTCAAACGAATTAGTCGATGAAGTTTGACATCCAGACAATCCCGATGCTTTTTGAAAATCAATGATTTTATAGTTGGTTGATTGAAAATTTCTTTTCCTCGTGAACAGCTAAAGGGGGGTAACTTTTGGAACTTCCTGTCCAAATACGACTCGAACGATTTTGTCCACAATGCGCATACACATAGTAGATATAGTCATGTATAAAATATACAAAATTAACGAAAATTAAACGACAGAAATTTTTTGGGGGTGGGTGTGTTGTACATCCTTAAGGAATTCTGTGGGTGTTTATTTTAAATATTTATAATATTCTATAACCGTGAAAAAAGTAATTAGTGTTTCTGAAAGACTGACATGTCCGAACACAAAATAAATGGACAAGGACAATCCTGAAAACGGTAATGTTGAGCTCTACAAACACTGCTGGCATATTCTAAGTGTGGACTAGCCAAAGACATTCAAACAATTCATAGTAAAATGCAGGCGCATAGTATCGTTTTTGAAAGGTCGCAGCCGAGAAAATATTTGACAAGTTACCTGAAAAAACTTTGACAAGTTTTTAAAAAAAGGAAAAAGGTATATTGTCCGATAATCCTATTTCGTGTATGTCGGGGGGGGGGGGGGAGGCGTGGTTGGTTGGTTTAAACTTTTTCATAACCAAATTTTATTGATTCATTACTACATTACCATTATTTGGCTATTTTGCAAAAAAGTAAAAGCCACCAAGCCTTTCAATGAACATATTCGAAAGTAAAAGTTATGTTTGGAAGGAGAGGGGCGGGTCCCCTTGCCCCCTCCACTCGAATACTACATGCCTGATACCAACTACTGACATTTGATTTATATGGAAATCTATAAAACTATATATATATATATATATATATATATATATATATATATATATATATATATATATATATATATATATATATATATATAGAAAAGTGGGTGTGGGTGTGGGTGTGTGTGTGTGTGTGTGGAGAGAGAGAGCGGTTATTTTCTAGAACTATAGGTAGCAATATTGAGTGATAACACCGAGTAAAAATATTTCGTGATTTCCTACACGTATCAATGACCCTTCGCCCGATGGAAGACGAACGATAGTCCAAAAAGCGTGGAGTTCGCGAGGGCAACCCGTAAAGTATGTGACACAGGTATTATTTAATGCAAAAGAATGTCTACCAATCTTTTAAAGAAACGTGCATTTTGCACGCATTCTCATAACAGGATAAGACTTAGCACAGATATCAAAGAAGAGACCGAATTGATAAAGATAGTAAGAAATAGTCACAGAACCTTTACCTAATACAATAGACAAACAAAAATAACACTACCATATTCCCAATTAGCAATTAATGAGTCCTCTTTATATAGAGATTTTTATAAAACAGTTTATAGGTGAATGTTTTTACAACTCATCACTGGACTGTATATGTATATTGTCAATGTTGTAGAATAAATTTAAAAAAAAAAAAGCATAAACCTTCGGTTATTGTTAAAATCTATGAAATAGTTTTGATACATCTATATACATGTATCTAGTAGTTTTTCATGTTCGAATAAAATGTTTCTTTATGAAATATAGAGATAACAAACAGTATCCGGAGTTCATTAAAAGCAATATATGAGGATATTGATCATTCAGATTATTAATTTACATTGTACATTTTATTAATCATGACACATTCAAAGCTGATACTAAAATCAGTCGTTCTTATATCATTTAAAAAAATGTTATTTCAATATCATTGTATTGTAGTATAGATCGTTATTATTGACATATGTATTTTATATTTTTAATGTTTTTCTCTGGATATTATCTGATTTAATGGATTTATTTCAATGTAACTAGAAATACGTGAAATCAAGTGTGTATCTTAAGAAATATGATAAGTTACTGAAAGGAAAGGATTAAACTCAATCTTAAATTAAGATAAAATAATAGAAGGATTGCACTTCAGATTTTTTTTATTTTTCTTTTCAGAGCACTTATTGTCTCTCTCTCTCTCTCTCTCTCTCTCTCTGAGAGAGAAAGAGAGCTTTTTAAATTAGGCCATTCCAAGTTTTTAGCTCTACTGGTCAGAGACCAGAAGAGCTTATGCGATAGTAAGGTGTCCGTCGTCCGTCCGTCTGTCTGTCTGTCTGTCTGTCTGTCTGTCTGTCCGTCTGTCTGTAAACAATTTTTCAAAACGCTACTCCTCCTACAGTTTTGGTCCGATTTCAATATAACTTGGCACACAAGTAGACTACACTAAGATACATAATTTAGTGCATCAGTTTTTGATTTCGATGGACGGTGTTGCCATGGTTACTAAAAATAGAAATTTCTGTGAAATTTCTTTAAAACGCTACTCCTCCTACAGTTTTGGTCCGATTTCAATATAACTTGGCACACAAGTAGACTACACTAAGATACATAATTTAGTACATCGGTTTTTGATTTCGATGGACGGTGTTGCCATGGTTACTAAAAATAGAAATTTCTGTGAAATTCCTTTAAAACGCTACTCCTCCTACAGTTTTGGTCCGATTTCAATATAACTTGGCACACAAGTAGACTACACTAAGATACATAATTTAGTGCATCGGTTTTTGATTTCGATGGACGGTGTTGCCATGGTTACTAAAAATAGAAATTTCTGTGAAATTCCTTTAAAACACTACTCCTGCTACAGTTTTAGTCTGCTTCTAATATAATTAGGCATACAAGAAGACTATACTAAGATACATAATTTATTGCATTGGTTTTTGAATTCGATGAACAGTGTTGCCATGGTTACTTAAAATAGAAATTTCTGTGAAATTCCTTTAAAACGCTACTCCTCCTACAATTTTGGTCTGATTTCAATCTAATTTGGCACACAGTTAGAATACACTACGATACATAATATGTATTTCTGTTTTTTTTATTTGGGTGAGTGGTGTTGTCATGGTTACCCGTACTAAAAATAGAAATTTCCGTGAAATACTTTCAAAACGCTACTACTCCTAGTTTTCATTTGATTTCAATATAACTTGTCACAAAAGTAGACTACATTAAGATACATAATTCTATTTATTGTTGCATGTTGCAATGTTTCAAATCCAAGTGCTACTTTTCTTTTGTTATACAAACAGACCAGTAGAGCTACAGTCTCATCAGAGACTTCTGGTTTTTCTCTGTTTAGCGTCCACCCATCTTTCAAAATCCTACCTACCTATTCGCAAAAAAACACACAAGCCAAAAAATAAAACACAGACTTCATAGTCTTAAAAATAACGTCATTCAAAGCATTGGATTTCGTTAATCTAATTTTCTCGAAGAAAGATCTATTCTTTAGCAAAATCAAGCTATTACATGCTTAAAATAAACATAATATGACATATTGTAGAAAAATATTTTCACAGAAATTGATATAATTAAAAGAATTTGAAAGATTTTGAGCAGAATAATGAATTTTAGGGCTTCTGATTTTGTTTGTTTTTTCTGCTATGTGGTATCAAAAACCAAGACGCACGCGGACGCTAAACATAGAAAAAAAACTTGGAATGGCCTTAGGATTAATACATTCGCATTGCATTGTGTGTGGTTACACCGTGGTGTGTATTATCTATAGAATATGTTAATATTTCCTTATTTTTTCCTGTTTTATTGTAAACCTTTTCAGTAACTTGTGACAACAATGTCCGGCCATCAATTTCATAACTTCATTTATCTGAAAAATAGCTTCAGAGACGATGTAGATATAATTATTTATAATAATCACAGACATCATGCATAGATACACATAACACATTTCGTTGCCTTTTAAAAGCATCTAACAATAAATACTATATCAATACAATGTATTTAATCACACACAACTGTGACTTAAAAAACAAACAAGACTGAGCTCTACTGATAAAGCCCACCTACATCAACATTGATTCTATTACAATTATACAAGTTTATACATTTAGATAACAATACCATTCAAAACAACCATTATTGTGAGGTTCAAAATGAATATAACCTACATGTTCAGCACAGTTTTGTAACACATCCGTTAACGTTTATAACATTATCTACAGAATGACACATGATAAGGCATCTGAAAACCCATCCCTAGGATGAAGAACTGTTCCGATAGCTTTGTTCAACACCCTTTTCATTTTCTTCTCAAGTTCGGGAGAACTCTCCAAAAATCGAGAAGCTCCGATTTTTCTGGCCATTTGGAATCCTTCCGAAGAACTGATACTTTTTTGACCATTTTGTCTCAAATTAAATTGCACAGAACAATCCATTCGGAGATCTGTTTGAGTTCCAACTAAAATTATAGGAACATCACCCAAGCAGCTTTTAAGATGGGGTGCCCATTTTTCTTCCACATTTCTAAATGACGTAGGCTGAACCACTGAATAGCAGACGACAACAATGTCTGCTCCAGGTAAAATGTGAGTACTGTTCTCCTGATCTTTGTCCTAAAAGTTGTTTTTCAAAAAAAAAAAAAAAATTAAGAAAATAGAAATTTTCATTTGATAATCAACTGCATACACTGATTTTGTGCACATTTTATGAAGTGCATCTCATTCATATCACAAAAGGTACATTTTATGCAGTGAATACATGGTTTCCTGAATATGCGTATCTAAATATAAACGGCTTGCACTTCATTATTTGAAATACAGTTAGTTTTCTGTTGTTGTAGATAAACAATAAACATCCATGCACTATTGAATCTTCAAAGAAGGATTCCGCATTTTTAATTCTTTTTTTTTCCATATGCATTTCATTACTTTTATATCAATATCTAGATTATAATAAAATATTTACAGATACGCCATATCGATAAACGTTTTGAATTTTTAAAAAAGATAAATACATTAGATAGGACTTTATTTACACATTTACACAAATATATTCATTTGTGGACTAGGCTTACAAGCTCTGATTATAATTGTTTTTTCAAAGAAAACTTTTAAAATGAAAATTTGTTTTTTACTTATTCGAAATTCGTCAGGTGGGCACCGTGGGAAAAGTTTATCAAATATTGACTTAGCATGAAGGACAGCCCCAAACATTCCGGATAATCTAGGTATTTATTTATAGGTAACCTTGTTTGTTGTTTAGATAATTTTCAGGTTATCCTACCTCTGTTCAATTTGCACGATTATTTCAAAGGATTTTATTTCGCTGATACATTTACGTCCTATAAAATGCGTGTTTCAGCGAAATCGTTTCCAACATTCCATCATTATCAAACTTTGAATTGGCGCAGCTCTTGTAGTTATTTATATATTACATAAAAAAAGATTAGGGGGTGTATCCATTTAAATGGATAAACAAACAAAGATAATAGTGAATGACCGGAGAAGGGTAATGTATTACAGAAATCAGAGAAGGGTTATAATTATATTAAAGAGACCAGGAAAGGGTAATCTATTATAGAGAGATGCTGTAGGGTAAATGTGTACGATAAACTACTCTCCTTATATGCATGGCGAGTTATAATGGGATTAATTGATCAGTTTATAGTTTTCTAATTTCACACAAAAAAGGGAATATTTTTCTATTGTTTCTAAGAGAATAATAAGTGACGATGCTCAATTATAAAACATAGGGTATAGAGCAAGAAAATAACACAAGATGGCACCATGTTATAGAAATGGGGAATCAGAATTCTTATCGTTATTATTATTTAAAGTACTTTCTTTACAATAATTATAATAACAAATTGAATCTCCACAATATCAAATTTGACACCTGTTCAATTTATTCTAAAGGGCAATCTGAAGATGAAAGGTTTTGGAAACAACTACATGTACATGTATAAGTATGATCTAACAGTCTAATATGAATGAACTCATTGAAAAGACATTTACAATTCATTTTCTTAAAATAGAAGTTTTAGAAGAACAGAGAACTTGAAACTTGCCTCTTCTAGAGTGTCAAGAAGTTGCAGATGATATTTTTTACCAGACATTTCCAAAGTTCCTGCAAGAACAGACAATACATTATATATTATCATCCGTACATTACATTAAGGAGAACAATATTTAGAAACCAAACGCTTTAACAATGTTTTCATTCTGCGACTTTCGAGTTTAAAATATAACAACTTAAGAAATGGCACAGGTGTATTCAAAACTATGATATAAATAAAAAAGGTTTATTAATAGAATACATATCTTGGCATGCTTACGTGATGTCTTAATTATAATGTTATGTGCTTCTCTGTTTATCTAAACACGCAGTATACAAGCTCTCAGCAAGCTTGATTCTGCATCAAATTTTAATGTCCAGATTTCGGATGGCGTTTTTTTCCCGATCGCACATCAATTTAAATATAGTTATTGCTATCAGATATATGCAATACTGTGGCTATTTGTAGATATATTCATAGATACAACTGCTTGAAATCTATAATAAATTTGGAACTAAATGTTTGTTAAAAAATAAACAAAAAAACGTACGTTTGTTCCAATGCATGAAATTTACCTGCATAGTTATCAAAAACACTAGGCACGTGCGTCGTGGGGAATCTGTTTGTAGCGTAATTCACTAGCAGACTAGTCTTCCCTACGGAATCATCCCCTAAAACAACACATTTTATAAAGTCCGAACGAAGAACCACCATCTTAACTCTATAAAGTTTGTCATTCACTACAAAATTCAAATTCTCCCGTAATTTAATCTTCAGATTGCACCATATCGTTTTGTTGACGTTTCTCTTTGTTTACATCTGTACACGCGCAAGCAGACGAGCGTATCTAGATGTCACGTGATGTTCAAAACTCGCCCTCGCAATATTTACCTATATCGCATGGAATGCAGAAAATCCACAGGTGGAAAATAAACACAGTTCGGAAGGGGAAGTGTCTAAGTGACTAAATAATGTAGAGGAATCGTTGCATGGGCGTCCTGTGGTCAATATATTACTGAAAGGATCGTACTGTTTTATCACAGTTTTGATCAGCCCTCATTCCGTCAGATATGAATTTCTACTTTAATGTTTTGTATCTTTCAACAAAATTTATATAGAAGGTTTTTTCACAACAATAATGATAATGATGGATAGGCTGGGTATCTTCAGTTGATGTTGTGCACCATATATCCAGCTAAAAATATTCCCGGAGTTTCTAGTATTAATATGAATTAAGGAAAGATATTGTGTATATGTTCTAAAGTACTATGGGGGTTATCTGGTAGAAAATCAAACAGAAATTTGAATTATAATTTTTGAACCATTGCTAGACTGTGCTTTTTACAGAAAGCCCCCTTTATTTATCCCATCAATTAATAAAATAAAGGTGGTATTGGCACTTTCATTGGGTCCCATTAAAGATGCCCTGCTATCTGTCATAATCTAACGCAATAAATCTTTTGTCACATGCTATTTTTATCCTTTTTTTCTGCTTATGAACTTTATATAACCCAGGAAAACAATGAAATCGTAAAATGTTTGTTATTGTTAACAATTCATTATGAATACATTAGTTTTATAATGAATTTATTCGGCAAAGAACAAGGTTCACTGAGGGCCTTTTTTGGCCCTGTGAATTTCTGAAAAACTGAAACTGCTTAGTTTTAGTTGACAATGCATTAAATTTCATTTAGACATTTGGCGATTGAAATCTGCCAAAAATGACGTAATTTTCTGGCTAGTCAATGCATTATGACGTGATGAAATGCGTCATTTTCCTTATATCCTGAACAATTCTAAAAAAAAAAAAAAAAAAAAAAAAAAGCCAAGTTTTAAAACTATTTTTCGATTTTTAATATAGAGCACAATCTCTGATCTAAAATATGCAATTCTTTACCGATAGAACCGTTTCTGAGGATTACAAAACATGTTTTATTTTTTAGATCAGAGGGTGCGCTCATATTATTTTTCATCTCTGAAAGTACTTAAATATCCCTGTTTTCCTTAAAATTCAAGAACATTGCAATTCCATAAAGCTTGTTTTCCAAGACCTGGATTTTAAGGAGAAAAATTTTAATTGGAAATGAAAGCACTTAGTCTCTACTTTATCTTGATGTTTAAAATGGAACATAAGGTGTTAGTAAATAAATTGGTATATCTACAGGACCATTTTATGCATAAAGTGAACCTAGCTCTTTGAATATTTATCTTAATCTGAATCTGAATGTTCACTATTTAATATCTTAATTTCAATACCAAATAAGCATGGTTGTCCATTTTCAGACTGATAAAGATTTGAATATACAACAAATTACGCATGTTATAAAACATTTATAGGTCAGCATGTCCTGTGATATGCAGAAAGTAAATAGAGAATAATTGGTTCGATACGAGTGTCATAAATGATGATTTAATCACATGACGGTGTTGATAATGTCAACATACAAACACAATACCCCCTGAACGTCTGCATTGTTAGGTCACCTGGGTTACTCAGGTGACCTATTGCTATCCGTTCTCGTCCGTCGGCGTGCGTCGTGTGTTAACATTTGAACATTTTTAGCTTCTTCTCTGAAACCGCTTAACCAATTTCAACCAAATTTGGCATATAGCATCTATGGGTAAAGGGGAACAAAAGTTGTAAATTTCATGGTCCCTGCCCCCCTGGGGCCTGAGGGGTGGGGCTAAAACCTCCAAAAATAATGCAATCTTTAAAAATCTTCTTTACTCCTGGACATCAAGCAGTCAAACTGTTAGCATCATTGTGATAAGCATTGAGCCATCTACCAAAATTGTGAAATTCATGGCCCCAGGGTCTGGGGTTCTGGCCCCAGGGTGGGGATATATAGATCATATAGTGAAAGTGCATTATTTCTTTGAAAATCTTCTTCTCTGCTCCTGGGTATTAAATAAAGTAACTAAGTACATAGTTATGATGAGTAAGAGTGCCTCTTCCAAAATTGTGAAATTCATGGCCCCAGGGTCAGGGGTTCTGGTGTTAGGGCGGGGCTCTATTGAATATATAGTGAAAATGCATTGATTCTTTGAAAATCTTCTTCTCTGCTCCTGGGTATTAAATAAACTAACTAAGAACATAGTTATGATGAGCATGGCTGCCTTTTCAGGGTCTGGGGTTCAGGTGTTAGGGCGGGGCTCTATTGACTATATAGTGAAAATGCATTAATTCTCTGAAAATCTTCTTCTCTGCTCCTGGATATTAAATAAACTAAGTACGAACATAGTTATGATGAGTAAGAGTGCCTCTTCCAAAATTATGAATTTCATGGCCACTGGGTCAGGGGTTCTGGTGTTAGGGCGGGGCTCAGTTGATTATATAGAAAAATTGAATTAATTCTTTAAAAACTTCTACTCTGCTCCTAGGTATAAAATAAAGTAACTAAGTACATAGTTATGATGAGCAAGAGTGCCTCTTCAAAAATTATAAAATTCATGGCCCCAGGGTCAGGGGTTCTGGTGTTAGGGCGGGACTCATTTGATTAAATAGTGAAAATGCATTAATTCTTTGGAAATCTTCTTCTCTGCTCCTGGGTATTAAATAAAGTAACTTAAGTATATAGTTATGATGAGCATGGCTGCCTTTTCAGAAATTTTATGGCTCCTGGGTCAGGGGTTCAGGTGTTAGGGCGGGGCTCTGCTCTATTGATTATATAGTAAAAATGCATTAATTCTTTGAAAATCTTCTTCTATGCTCCTGGATATTGAATAAACTAAGTACATAGTGACGATGAGTTATGATGAGCATGGTTGCCTCTTCCAGAATTATGAATTTCATGGCCCCTGGGTAAAGGGTTCTGGTGTTAGGGCAGGGCTCTATTTATTATATAGGGAAAATGCATAAATTCTTTGAAAATCTTCTCTGCTCCTTGGTATTATTCAAACAAAGGAAGTGCATGGTTATGATAAGGAAGAATGCTTCTTCCAAACTGTGAAATTCATGGCCCCTGGGTCAGGAGTTAGGTGAAGAGGGGGGCGGGGACTCTTTTGATTATATATTGAAAATGCATAATTTCTTTCAAAGTATTTTTTTCTACTACTGGTTATAAAGCAAAGAAACAAGTGTATAGATATGATGAGCAAGGGTGCTTCTTCCAGAATTGTGAGTTCATGGCTCCTGGGTCAGATGTTCTGGTGTAAGGATGGGGCTTTATTTATTTAATAATATAGTGAAAATGCTTTCTTTGAAAATCTTCTATGCTTCTGGGCGAACAGAGTAGAAGTTTTAATATGCAAAGGTATTTTTACCAGAATTTTGAACACCTGGACCATTTAGTCAAGTGTTCTGGTCCTGCCCAGTGCTCTATTATCTTGTATTCTGCTGAGCAAAGTTATTCCCCTTTGCCATTTACCTTTGATAATTAATCACTGTAAAACAATGTATTTGAAAGGTTAATAGAATACGAGAATTATGCAAGAATATTTATTGTAAAATTCAAAAATTACTTTCACAGTTTTAATGATCAGATAGACCTGGAAATAATAAATGAATAAAATTGAGACAAAAATAACTTATCTTTTTAAATGTTCTTCAAAGGCCAAGAGAGTCCAATGTGAGAAGTTATAATATGGGGTTAAAAAATAGACATTTTGTTAAGTAGTCTGCATGGTAATAGTGATAAATGGGGGACAGATAGATACTAGACCAATTATTTTGTTGATGCTAATCATACTATATTTCTTGCTTTTGGGCAACAAAGCTTCATTTATCAGTTTATGGATCCTCTAAATTGTTGTATTGTAATCAGGTGACCGTTAAGGCCCTTGGGCCTCTTGTTTTGTAATGTGGTCCATCCTGAACAGTCCATTGCATTGCCCAGTTTGCAGTATTATTAAATTTAATTCTTAAATTTAAACTATTTTGTTTACTTTTAAATTATTTTTGTCTACTTGTTTTTTACTTGAATTATAAACACTAAGAATTCTATAAAGTATTTACAATGAACTTGCATTGTATAGAAGACTGGCTATAGAGTACTAAGAAGCTAAAATCGTTCGTATGAAAGAGGTAAAGATAACGAACAGTGTTCAATCTCAAAAATCCATAATACAAATCGATAACAAGTCAGAAACAGACTCCTGGAAACATCGGAAAAGATATCGGGTGACTAGAAGGAGTAAGCACCCCCTGGTGACCTGTTACATAGACGTGAGCTTTTTGTATTTAGTAGGTGGAGTAATCGTAAGTCATAATCATTTAGTGATCATAAATTAGTATGAAAATAATGACCTGACCATTGACATAAAAATGTCAGTCCATCGAACGATCAGTTGTATTTGCATACAAGTTAACCATGGAATTTGCGAAAAGATGATTTTAAACTAGACAGTTGAAAGCCCTGTTACATCAACTTATTTGTCAGTAGCCTTCCTCGGTGTAAAAATTGATCATATTGAAAACACTTTTTACTGCGCATCATATCAGTTGAGAGACGTAAACACAGGGGCAGTCGACGTTTTTTCACACACATTCCATGATTCTGCTCAAGAAGAACTCACGAGGTAACTGTCTCTGTCTTGTGTATACTTTTTCAACAATGCTAATGACATACCAACTTGTCCGAAGTTAGTATCTGATGTTTTCCAGGGTTTTTAAACTGATTACTAAAGGTAGGTAAGTAAAGAATTTTACCTTATTACCTTCCTAAAAATAATAATAATAAAATAAATAAAATATCAGACTTAAAAACTTCCCTGATGATATGTAAACTAATCATTATTTTTTTGAAAGAATTTAATGTTGATTTGGGGGGTGGGGGGTGGGGTGGGGGGTTCAGACTCCCCCTTTTTTAAAGTTCAATTTCTTCACTCAAACCAAAGTACATAAGTTACAAAATTAATAACATTAATAACATACAAACATATATACATTAGTTAGAGGTACATGTGCAATGCTATATCACGTCGAAGTGAA